CCTACAAGCAGCATGAGATGACCACGATTTTCAACACCCCAAAAGACATGGAACATTGTCTTTTCAGAGTTATCCGTGCTCCCTGTGTGGCTGAAACTTGGAGAATTGCTTTTTCTGTGTGCTTTGGTTTTGGGCTTCCAGGTCCTCATTTGCAGAAGTACTCACATGGTTTTGAAATCTCCATCCTTGGAGATACTTCAGATTTGACTAGATACGACCCTGAAAGACCTGATCTGATTTCAAAGTTGAGTAAAACTTCAAACTTGAGCAAGGGGGCGGATCAGATGGTGCTTTCTAACCAGAATTATTCTCAGGCTGCAGCTGCCACTGCAGTCAGTGGGAGCTCTGCCTTGAGCAGACATGTGCTCCAAAAAAACCAGAGATTTTCTGCTCAGCACCCAAAATTATCTGAAACTTCGGAAAAAAATTACATTTTAATACTGCGTCTATGAAATGGCGCAAATAATGTCAACACAGGTAGGGTTTAAAGTTTGTTTATGAATTGCCTAGGAATCATTTTCCAAGCATTAGAAAATACTCTGAGGAAATCAGCAATTTACTACTCAGACCGGGGCTTGGCTAATGTAAAGGGACAGAACTCTTCATGGAGCCTTGATGCTTAAATGCAAGGCTGAAAACTCATTCATTAAGCACTTTGTGTTGTGTTGCTCCTTTGAAGCATGGCTTCTGTGCTGAAGGTAATATGTCTCTGTGTAATTAAAACCTGTAGTAAGATTTCATTTTTCATTTTGCACTTATTAGTACTTCTCTTTTGAAAAATCAAGATTTGGCAGGCCATTCCAATCAATTAGATATAATTTTATATTGATACTGAAATAGACATTTTTTGGCATTGCCCTGTTTGTTCAAAGTTAAGCTGTAAGGTTATGTACATGGAGGTCTGGAAGATCACAGGTACAGCAGATGCTTCAAGTCTGAGTCAGTCAGTGACTAGTGTTGACAGGATACTAAGAAATCAGAATAAAATGCTATGGAGTATATGCACACACGTGTACCTGTGTGAAATCTACTTTGCTCATCAATTAATCAGATTAAGAAGTCGATTGAAGTAACCGAGGTTTCATTTAACACATTTCTCATGGGTAACTACAAACTGTGATAGCAGAAACAAGCCTTCAAGAGTAAAAATAGAAAGCATTCCTATCACAAGTTTTGCTCGAAAAACAAGAAAGATGTGAGAACAAGGGAACGGGAGCCTAATGAAAACATCTCTCTTTGCCTCTTTCTCTGCAATGCCATGCTGAGAAGCAGCACTTACTTTCTGACAGGCAGAAATCTTTGTGCCTGACGGAGAGAACAGGAGATAAAAAGGATACAAAGCATCTGGCTTTCCAATGCGTACGTGGGATGATGATTTAAATTACAAAGTTTAAAGAATTTGGCACCTAGCAAACTTGAACCTTGCCCAGGGTTGATCTTCCCCCCTTCAATAATCAGTTTAGAAAACATGAAAAAAGAAGTATTTTCCCCTATAACACAGCATATAAACAACATCTGCACTTTCGAATGAGTTCAAAACACCTTTGGAATGAAAGGTTTTTCTCTTTGAACAGAGAAGAAACCCTTCCAGCATGCTCAAGTGGAGGGAAAGTCTCGCTGAGATTGAGCTGTCTGGTTCCACTGTAACGTTGCTGGCAGAGTCCCTACGGCAGGATTGACATTGCATTAATTACTGGGCCCATGGGCCCTCCGACCCTGCTCCACCACAAGACGTGCTGGCAATGGATCTGAGGAAGGCTGGCATCATCTCAGTCCTGAAGACCTGAAGGCAAGTTGTCACCTGAACTGCGGGTAAAGTGAAACATTTCACTGTGCTAATAAAATACACATTTCTCTGGCATTCAGACTGTCTGGGAGATAACTGTTTAATGTATTACAAGCCTCATGGCTAATATCTGACTTGAACAAGCATGATTACACAAAAGACAAGCTTTCTGAAGTACTTTGGTTTGATAATATTCATAATACTAATTATATGTTAATAATAGAGATATATTATCAGATATGGATTTTGCTCCTTATTAGTTGACAGTGGGCCTCATCCTCATTTATGCATTTCAGTAGGAGAAAGTAGCATCAATATAAAGTGTTATGGTATGCAGTTCAAAACAGTTCTAGGCCCACAGAGAGTTGTGCTCCACATTAATTTGCTTGGCTTCCAGGGTAAAGAGAGAACAGTGCATCACAGTTATAGCAGCTGGCATTTTTTTAGTAACTAGTCCTTTCAGATGCCTTATTTCAGCTGGCTTAATTTGAATTGCAGTGCACCAGCTTGCAGAAATTTTCAGGACAAGCTTGATCAACTCGATGCAAATTCTTTAAGACAGTCTCAGTTTGTGCACTGAAAACTTAAGCACTCATTTCACTGTGATCACTACCTAATTGATTCATTCCTGTCTTGCTTGATTGCATTGCCATTCTAGCTCAAAATCAGATGTAATAGCCATGAAGATGGTAGCCATCAAATGACTTTTTAAGCAGCATCAGTTCCTTCGGTTAGCAACCTTGACTCTAAAACAGTGACAAGGTAAAGCCATATTGCCATATAGTGATGTTTAGGAACAGAAAGAGCTTTTGATTTTGACATTGTCTCACTAGAAGCGCAGAATAAGAGGTCAGATAGCTGAAGTTTAAAGAAATATCATTTACAAACAATAAGTAAACATAAAAGGAAAGGTATTAGCTGAATCCATATATAATTTTATAATCCATGTGGTGTTTAAACAAATATTTGTCCTTGTCAATTATTCCCACAGAGTGATTGTGCAAGTAATAAAGATTTAAACAATGTTTATATAAACAACATGAAATGCAAGATAAAGAACTTGATAATTACATATCACTTTTAAAGATACAAGTGAATTGTCTGAGTCTTTCAAATCAAAGTCATAATGGATTGCAGCTTTATATGTAGTCAAAATAAAGATTTGTGGAATATGATTTTTTTTATGTCTGGTAGATCTATTTTTAAATATTTTTTTAAAAATAAAGCATCCCATGATTAGCCCTTTCAATTACTGCATCACAGTGGTTTTTACAGACTCTAATTATATCTTAGATTAAAATTCAAAACACCTGCTCTTGTGGATTGCACTAATTTCAGCCTCGAGTATTTTGATACAAAGAGCTATAATCAGTGAGAACCAAATGATTTCCTATTCTCTGTACCACACCTTCTCAGTTGAGCACAGCTAAAGAAAGATCTCCATTTCCTTCTTTTGGTGGTTTTTTTTCCTTTTTCTTTATTTTTTTCTTATGATCATTATACTTTTTATCTAAAGATGTCTTTTTAATGCTGAGAAATGTAGTATTTTTTACTTAAATCAGTTTAACACAGATATTAGCTTTTAATATAGCAGTAATTTTGATTTTAAATAGCAGATGAACAGTGTAGCTTTCTTCTGTTAGTTCCCCTTTTCATTTCAGTGTAGCTAATATAAATACTTTGTTCCTGGCTTTTAAGAAAACTGCTCTTTAAAAACCCTGTAATTTGAGTTCAGGGATTTAAATGGGAACACATACTTACTTGAAAGATGGGTTTTGATGTGCGTGGTTCTCTGTTATTATTCATGAACTTCTCTAGGCTTTAGGGGTATGATCCAAAGTCCACGGAGTCAATGGGAAGACACGCAGATTTCACTGGATGTTGGGTCAGTATAATAAATATTGTATGAAGAAAAAGGAAACAGTTGAATTGTCCATGTAGGTTCTATCACAATAAAATAAGGGTATCATTAACACTATTTACTTTTTGATGAGCGTAATACAGAATCTGACTGCTCAGATACACTGTTTTTAAGCCAACAGGATAACACTACAGGACACAACAGGTCAACAAAGAGTCATTGTAGGGCATTGAATCAGGCCCACCACAGTCCTCCAAAGCCCTCCAGAGCAATTTGTCTACTCCAAATTTTATACAATGGTCTACCTTCAAATAACTCTGCTGAAGCTGTGGGGTGGCCTGGCAGCTCTGCACCAGAGCTGCTTATTTGTTTCTCCCCCATGCTGTGCTGTAACTTGCCACGTCGCTCTGTTGCAATGGGCAGGTTTCTGAAGGCCCATGAAAAGCCACCTGGCTCTTGCTCCAGAGTATATTAATGCAATGAAAACAGATTTAACGGCATGTCACATCAGAACTAGAACAATCTTTTTACAAATTCGGCATTTTTATGCCCTATGTTTCTCACTGTGATTAATTAGCTGTGAATGTATTTACTGATGTTTTCATTCCCTTTTCCATGTCATGGATTACAGACGTAAATTCTTTCTGGAAAAATTCAAGCCCTCCACATGATAAAATGGCATATGCCTCACCAAACTCTGCTAGCTTTCCCTAAAAGCTCTAAGAAATTTTTACCTAAGATTTCCATCACCTGTGACATCATTCTGATTTAGGACAAATGACAGCATGAGCCATAGGTACCCACTAGCATCTCAAAGGCATGATGAGTAGCTCTGATTAACCCTACACACTGGGCTTTGCTGCCCCCAGTGTTTCCCAGTAGTTTCTTAGCCTACTTTCAACTCTGCTCAGATGTATACAGCCAGGTCTGTGATTGCTGTGGGAGAAGGAGACAGCCCCTGGATGGGCAAGAAGTGTGCAGAAGCCATACAGATGCACTGAGACACTGCTGCAGCATCACTGGTCCTGCACTACCCTGCCTCTGGGAGCCCCACCAAAAATGTACATCACTGTGCCCCACTTAATAATCTAGACTTATGAAGGATAAGTTTGGGTCAAGGATCAGTTTTGGGGTTTGTTGTCCAGAGTTTCCAGTCTTGCATGATGACTGAAGCTGTCTTTGTACCTCCCTGCCAGCCTTCAGACTGCTGTAGAGCAGAGCCCAGCAGCCGCCAGCACTGAGAAAGCCTCGTACCCGTAAGGAGAAAAGCAATTAACACCAGTGGCACTAAAAACAGAACAAGTGATGCAAGTCTTGTGCATAATAGCAAGGGCTTTTGTTCATAAATCTCACCTTTCTGCATGGTAGACACATGAAACTCGGTGTCTGCCTGAGGAGCTGAAGGGCTGAGTCAACCCTGCTGAGATTTAAGCCATCGGTTCCAGAGAGTCTAGGTGTTTCAAACGTGGTGCTTACACCACTAAACTACCTCTTCAGCTTTATTTAGCTGCTGCTACTGCTATCAAAACAAACCACATGTTGCAAATCTATTTATTAGGGGTTTGTGGTGGGTGGATCCTGGCTGGGTGCCAGGTGCCCATCAAAGCCACTCTATCACTGCCCTACTTAGTTGGACAGGGGGAGGAAATAGAACAAAAGGCCTGTGGGTTGAGAGACAGAGAGATCACTCAACAATATAAAAACAAATCTTAAACCACTCTCCCCCAACCCTTTGTTCCCAAGCTCAACTTCACTCCCAAATTCTCTAGTTCCTCCCCCTGTAGAAGCATACGGGGATGAGGATTTGGTGCCTTGGTCAGTTCACCACACGTTGTCTCTGCTGCTCCTTCCTCCTTAGGGGAGGACTCCTCACACTCTTCCCCTACTCCACCATGGAGTTCCTCCCACAGCAAACAGCCTTCCATGAACTTCTCCAATGTAAGTTCTTCATAAAATGCTCCAGTGTGGGTCCCTTCCATGGGATGCATCCTTCAGGAACAGGCTGTTCCAGTGTGGGTCCCCTGTGGGGTAACAGCCTCCTTCGGGCATCCCTCTGCTCTAGTGTAGGGTACTCCATGTGCTGCAGGTGGAGATCTGCTCCACCATGGACCTCCATGGGCTGCACCATAGGCTGCAGGGGAATCTCTGCTCTGGTGCCTGGAGCACCTCCTGCCCTCCTTCTGCACTGACCTGGGTGTCTGCAGGGCTGGTTCTCTCACAGATTCTCACTCCTCTCTCCTGCTGCAGGTTGTTGCAAGAGGTTTTTCTCCCTCTTCTTACCTATGTTGTCCCAGAGGTGCTACCGTGTCACTGATGCGCTTGGCCTTGGCCAGGAATGAGTCCATCTTGTAGCTGGCTGCATTGGCTTTGTCGGACATACAGGAAGCTTTTGGCACATTCTCATAGGAGCCACCCCTGTAGCCCCTCCACTACCAATACCTTGCCAGGCAAACCCAGAACCGTGTTTATGCTTCATTTGACATGAAAGTACTTTTTAAAGCAAGACAAAACGTTGTGATAATCAAACTGCTTTAAATTTTAAGCTACACAACATTTGCATTATCTGCTTTTGCTTGAAAAAGAAAAAAACCAACTTTTTTTTCCATAGTAGAAATTAAAATGCAACTGATGCTTTAAATTTGAAATTTACTGCTGCTGTGAAAGTCTGCCTACCACCTAGGATGTGGAAACATTGGTTAGTTAAAAAGTTAACAACATAGATATTATTCAAAGGAAAAAACAAATCAAAGCTGTGTGCAAGCAGTGTCTTCTGTCTGACAGGAGTCCTCGGAGAGCTATATGATGGCATTTTCCAGAATTAAATTGCTTTATTATAAGAGCTTTAAATTAAGCTCCTAACTATGACCTTTAAACACGGTGATTGCCATTATGCCTGCTGAGGAGGTGGTGGAGGGTTTGGAAACCCTGTGCAAGACTGATGGGTTTTAATACGTAATCAAGTATAGGTTCATTTAGCACAGCTGTTGAACAGAAGGCCTAACACCGGGTTATCACAGGGAGTGCCCTCTCTTCTCTTCCAGACAAATCAGTGTTAGCAGTGGGAGGCAGGGCTTGTTAGTGCTAGGGAAAACAGCACCCTATCTTCCTGATGGGGCTGGAAGAGGATGTGGAGTTTAACAGCCATGCATCTCCTTTAGAGAGTGACCAGGAATAAAATGTTTCCCCAGCGCTCGTACACTTAGACCAGGTAAAACCTCATACATGGTGCACTTAGAACAAAAATACATGCCGAAAAAAAAAATACTGAAATCCTTAAACAAATGCACAGAGTTAGAAAAGTCTTCTCCATAACATTCTGTTAAAAACACTATCAACAAATCTTGTTCTCAAATGTACCTACTGACATGCATATACAGATCTTATACACTGTCAGATACCTGTGTGTTGTTCTTCAAGCATGAATAAATGAAACACTGGAGAAACAAAACAAGGCCCCATGCATCGTATGGTTATAAAGTGCCAATTCTGTAAATGTGATAATACAACCTATCCTGAAGCCTGCAAGTTCTCATCACAGAAACTAAGGCTCTGTGTCAGTGCAGGAAACAGAGATCTGAGAGAGGCTGACTCGTCTCATAAAGGTCCCACCTTTCCTAGTGGTACAGAGGGGAAAGCTGGAAGCCTAACTCAGCTGACTGTGCAAAACAAGGTTAAAGTCAAGACCCAAATAATCTGTTCTGTACTATGTACACTGAAAAAAAACATCATGGGCTGTAGGACCTCCTTCTGGCACGCAGAGGGCTGACATTTCTCTGCAGCATGTGACTGTGCAGGGATGCTGCCACTCATTCTCCTCTGCAGGAATCACAGTTGTAGCCTCAGCCCCAGGGGCTTGTGCCTGGAAACTTCCCACCACCTACCTCTGCTTCTGGTCCTGACCAGCCTCAGGCTTGGAAAGACCCAGTCCCTGCTTCCAGGTCCACTCATCAAGCACAAGTGTAGCCTGAGCCCACAGGTTACTAAATATATCAAAATCTCTTCTGATAGCTCCCACAATATTTGTTGTGTCAAGGGCTATAACTTAAGCAGTCAAGATGCAGCAAGGCCAGGTTGGACGAGGCTTTGGGTAATATGGTTTAGAGTGAGGTGTCCCTGCCCATGGCAGGGGGGTTGGAACTTGATGATCTTAAGGTCCTTTCCAACCCTAACTATTATTCTATGATTCTATGATTTTGGTGGATGTGTGGCAGGTTTTCAAGAGTGCTGATAATATTGGGTTGTACTGTGTCAGTAATATTTATTCTACACATTTTATTAGTTCAATTTCTAAACAGTCAATCAAGTAAAGGTAGGCAAAGCCTGAAGCATCGCTTTCATATTTTAACATATTAAGCCAAAAATTCCAAGATGTTCACTGAGTTTTTAGACTAAAAAAAGTAAGAGCTTCAGATTCACATGCCCTACCATCCCACATAAGTTCTCCTTCCTACTTATCCAAGCAGCTTTAAAGGCTGAAAACCAGCCAATAAAACAAAAATGGAATTTAGACTCTGTGAATCTGGACTTCTGTGAGGATCACAGAAGTGGGAACTGAAAGTGCTGATAGGTTAACTTTTATTTATCAAGGGAGTTAAACAGTTTAACCACACCAATCATTCATACTATAGGATTAACATATTTGGGGTTTTGTTATTTATAACCAGCACTGTTAGATATACAATTGGTTGCATGTATTTTGTCTTCCAGTTTTATTTTGTCTTCCAGTTTTTCACAATTGTGGGGAAAAGGGGGTTTTTTACAAGAAATCACTCTAGTATTGGTTATAACACGTATAATAATCTTGTCTCGGTCTTGACTGCTCTCATTCTTTTCCTCTTGTATCAGACATGATCTGGCTGAGTTCTTGGGGTGCTCTATCTCTGATAACATGGGATAACTTTGGAAACTTAGGCATACCTCTTTCTGCCTATTCCACTGACCTCTTTTGGCCAGGGAAGCATGAATTTGCTCCTTTAATGGTGTGTTGCTGAAAGAGGCTATCACAGATTCTTTAGTTCTCATTTCCCCACCACCAATGTTTTGTCACAGTATTTTTCTACAGGCTTGTCCTTTTACATATGATTTTAATAATGGTGCAAATTGAGATGTTAAATGCCAAAGTCTGTTTAGCTGCACATCTAAGAAGATCACTGTAATCTTTAAGAGCACCACTACTGCATTTCACAACAGGTTCCTTGTGCAGCCAAGTGTTACTTGTCTCTCAGGCTTTGGAGGTAAAGGTGGAATACTTACTCCCTTCAATCACTGGACTCTGTTCTTAATTTCTCTAGAGAGCCAAAGTTTTTCTAGCACTAGATTTAACACTAACACAGAATTGCTTCTGTTCTTTGCACGGGATGCAAGATTTTTTCTCTTGATATCACATCCACTATGCAGCTTGCTTCTTTGATCTGTTGAGGTTTGTCTTCCCTTCGCACTGGGGGAAGGAAAAAAGTGTAGAAAACGCATCACTCTTCCAAATCCAAAAACCTGTTCCCTTGTCCAGCTTAGGTCATAGGGAAAAAATGTTTGATGGTTTTAGTCACCTTTCCAGAGCAAGCAAGCATGCGCTTGTATAGCAGAAGTAGTACTTGATATGCATTACTATTACTCATGGTACAAAGCAGCTCTGCAGACACCCATGTCCAAGTCAGCTATCCAAGTGTTTCTTCTTGTAGACATCTGATTAAAATGAATGATTTATGACACTCTGTTCTGGAAATTTGCATTGTAGCCTCATTGTCTGCTTTCCTCACACTCTTTTGCTGGTGCCTCTTTCCGCACTTGATCAAATAGAGTACTTGAAATAAGCTGATGTGCAGGCTTGTTTTAGGATCCTGTCCATCCTTATTTGGTTATCAATTATTTAATATCAAGGAATCAACTGAAAGCTGTCTAGAGAGAAAAGATACCCTTCATATGGGACTTTCAGCTGGAAGTCATAAAGTTGATAGACCCTAAGTGTCTATAAAACTTTCAGTGCTCCACAGAGAGTTATCTGAAACAGTTTATGTGTCTGCTGGGGTTATCCCTAGGCTGGGGATCATCACTAGGCTGGGGATCCAGCTGCTGCTTTTGCTCTAGAGAAGTCAGCAACCAGTTTGGTGGAATAGTATGTACGTGAAGCCACAGATGAACACCTTCTGTTGTACTTTGGTGTAGCCACCAGCCTCTGAGACATGTTCATGTGGATGGTGGGACTGAGATTGAAGGACTCGGGAGCACTTTGTAGATTCTTGGGACCTGATTTGGCACCTGCCAAGATGATGTCTCCCAGACCTCTACTTCTTCCATGTGAATAGATGAGTGTCTACACATGTCTACAAGTGTCCAGAAGTGTGTCTATCTCATTGGAAACCTTAAGAGAGCACGTGAAGTCCCTGAACTAAATGCATCCTGCAGCATTTGTTGTTGGCAATCATATGTAAGAGTTGTCAACTCTTTAGGGCCTGAATGAAAGGCTTATGGACCACCTCCCAGTTTCATGTGTATCACTGGT